CCTTGGTTGAAAGAACTTCGTAAATTAAATATTCAAGTGTCAGATGTAGAGGGTAATGCTCTCGAAAACGAAAGTGACATTAAATTGTTGATAGGTTCTGATATTGCTGGAAAATTATTCACCGGAAATATTAAATGTTTACAAAGTGGTCCGGTCGCGATGGAAACAAGTTTGGGATGGATTTTAATGGGTAAAATTCCAGCGAAGGAATCTTCGGGTATAAATGATTCTCTTGCATGTGTTTCTTTATTGCTAAACGAAAGATCAGCAGAAAACTTGTGGAAGTTAGACGTTATTGGTATAAATGACCCAGTTGAGTCTAAAAAGAAAGCTGAAATTCATGAGGAGACCATGCAATATTTTGAGGAAAATTTGAATTTGGATTCAGACGGGAGATATGAAACTGCATTACCTTGGGTACTGGACCCCTCTCGCTTGTCTAATAATAAAACGTTGGCAGAAAAACGCCTGACTAATACGCGAAGGAAATTATTAGATTCGAATCAAATTAAAGTTTATCAGGAAGTATTTGATACTTGGTTGAAGGAACGAATTATTGAAGAGGTAAATGAAGGCGAAGTAGATAGAGAGCACTATTTGCCTCATAGGCCGGTTTTTAAAGAATCTAGTGAAACTACGCGAGTAAGGCCAGTTTTTGATGCTTCGGCACACGCCAAAGGAGAACTTTCCTTAAATGATTGTCTTGAGAAAGGTCCCAACCTAATAGAAATAATTCCAACATTGTTGAATCGTTTTCGGAAATATCCTCTTGCAGTAATTTCAGACATTGAGAAAGCTTTCTTGCAGATTGGTATAAGAGAGAAGGATAGAGATTATTTGCGTTTCTTTTGGAAAGGTGCAGAAGAAGAGATACTAAAATTTACAGACATTGTCGCGTGGTTTTTGGGCTTAACTGTAGTCCATTTTTGTTAGCCGCTACGTTGAACTATCATTTAAATCGTGCCCCAGATCAGTTTGCAGTTACAGCCAACATTTTGAAGGAGTCCTTCTATGTTGATAATTGCCTGACTAGTTTTAAGAATGTTGAAGAATTGAATAGATTTGTACTAGAATCGAGAATGTTATTGTCACTGGGAAAGTTTAATCTTAGAGGATGGCAGTCGAATTGTGAAACCGAAATAATTCCCAACTCTAAATTAGATACATTCGTTTGCGTTTTAGGGTTAAACTGGGATTTGAAGGATGATACTCTTTCCTGTAAAATTGAGTCACTAAAGAAAGAGGAGATTGTCGCGAGTAAACGAACACTCCTTTCTTGCGCGCATAAGTTATTTGACCCAGTAGGCTTCCTTTCTCCCGTTACCCTGTTCCCAAAGGTGATATTGCAAGAGTGTTGGAAATTACGATTAAATTGGGATCAAAAATTGCCAGAACATTTAGAAAAGAAGTCCATACAATGGGTAAAGGAAATGAAACTGCTGTCTGATGTCAAAATTCCTAGATGGCTTAATATTGACAGATCGGTTAACGAAGAGATGTAAGTCTTCATGTTTTCAGCGATGCCAGCAAGCATGCCTATGCTACCTGTATTTTCTTAAGAGTGAAGACCGAAAATAAGGTTTATTTAAATTTTGTGCAAGCACGCACTAGAGTTAAGCCTTTAAAGAGTATATCCATTCCTCGTTTGGAATTATTATCCTGCTTAATCGGAGCACGCTTGGGACGTATGGTCTTTTCAGATTTGAACATGCCAAATTTAAGAACATTCTTCTGGACTGACTCAACAACCGCTTTGTGCTGGATCCAGCGAGACGTACGGTGGGGAACTTTCGTTTGGAATCGTGTCCAAGAAATCAGAACACTTACAAAAATAGAAGATTGGCATTACATCCCTTCGGAGCTGAATGCCGCCGATCTCCCTTCTAGAGGCTGTTCAGTTAAACAGTTTTTGCTGTCGAAATGGTGGGAGGGCCCATCATGGCTGTTAGAACCAGAATCGTCATGGTCAAGAGGCACCGATTTGCCGGACGAAGAGATCATAAATTCAGAAAGGCGTAAATCAGTATTGACAACTCTTAACAAAGATTCTAAACCTGACAATTGGTATTACAGGTACTTTTCATCCATAAAGAAAATTGTACGCATGTTAGGTTGGATTCTTAGGTTTTACTTTAAATTACGAAGAATTACAAACGAAACCTCCAAAATTTTGTCAGTTTCGGAAATTGAAAGAGCTGAGATAACTCTTATGTTATTGGTTCAAAGAGAATCATTTAAGAGTGTGAACGATGATAAAATTAAAGACCTCAGACCTATAGTTGATCGTGATGGTTTGATCAGAGCTAAAACCAATATTTCTTATCGCGACGATACTGATGACTTTAAGTTTCCTGTCATTTTGCCATCTGATCATGCAGTAGTAAACTTACTAATAATGAATGCACATAATGAGCTGCTGCATGCTGGTACTTCTTCTATGGTGATGTCTCATTTGCGGGAAAAGTATTGGATCCTCAAAACTCGTAAGACAGTACGAAACTGCATTAGAAAATGTGTTAAATGTCAAAGATTTAAATCCAAAAGTTGTGATGTAACTCCAGGAATTTTGCCGAAAGATAGAGTACGTGATGCAAATGTTTTTGAGATAGTGGGTGTCGATCTGGCAGGACCCCTCTACCTTAAGGATGGTCGAAAAGCTTATATTGTTCTTTACACATGTGCGGTCTATAGGGCCATTCATCTGGAGTCAGTAACATCCTTGACAACTGAAGCTTTTTTCCAGTCATTGAGACGTTTCATTTCTCGTCGCGGAAGACCATCTATAATATACTCAGACAATGGCAGTAATTTTAAAGGAGCGGAGAGCCTTCTGCATACAATTGATTGGGAGAGTCTGCGATCAAAAGCCGCTGAGCAAAGAATTCAGTGGAAATTTATTCCTCCTTCCGCACCTTGGTGGGGCGGTTGGTGGGAACGTTTAGTTCAAATGGTGAAACAGATTCTGAGAAAAGTTCTAGGTCGTGCTGCCCTGGATTACGAGGAGTTGCTTACAGTACTATGCGACTGTGAGAGAGTAATCAATACTAGGCCACTTACCTACGTGTCGGAAGACGTTGAAGATTCATCCCCATTAACTCCAGAAATGTTCCTTGCGGGAGATTTCCAAATCAGGAGTACCTGATATCGATACAGTGGATAAGGAAAAACTGAGTAAACGAGCTAAGTATCTACAAAAGGTGAGAGAACAACTTAGAGCAAGATTCCGTGTGGAATATCTAGGACAGTTACGTCAGCAGTCCATTAAAAACTCTATAGCTAAACCTCTCCAGGTGGGTGAAATTGTTCTACTTGAAGATAACAACAAAAAACGTGGTTTTTGGAACCTGGCGCGTGTCATAAAGCTGCTACCTGGTCGTGATGGACAAATAAGACTTGCTGTCATAAAAACAGAGACTTCTGAGTTTCTGAGACCAGTGCAAAGACTGTACAGACTTGAGCTGGATAACCCAGTCCAAAAGGATATGACTGAAAATATTCCTATGACTACCAGCAGTGGTAGAACTGTGAAACCAGTAAATTCAGGTGGGAGGAATATGTAGCGAATAGTTTATCCAACAGATGGCAGTATCTGCCAAGCTCCTTTGGTAATTGTCATTGCGCATGCGCAAGCGGAGTGTAAAAAGAAGTATGTTATTAGGAGAATGAGCTTTCGTTAATAATGTTGCTGCGCGTTTTCGCTGTGTAAATAAAAGTATATTTTTATATCATAGATGTTCTTTACTCTCTAATGCGAAGCACTAGGTTAGTGCACGAATCTCTTCTGATTCAGAAACCATTTTCAAACCGTGGATCACCACAGTCACATGCAATTGCGTGCTTTCTGCAACGACAGAATATGACCTTATGTAATTATAATATGTTTAATATTTTGTAATGTTGATTTTATTTTATATTTTGTAAAATGTACAAATTTTTTATTAACGAACTCTACGATCTGAAAGTGTGCAGTGGCGACACATTTGGACTGTTGTCAGTCAGAAAAATGAGTGCAAAAATTAGACTTTTCAGAGTTTTAAATTAATATCTCGGCTGAAAAGTTTACCTGTGTGCTTTAATGTACCCTCTTCCTCAAAAAAAAAAAAAAAAAAAAAAAAAAAAAAAAAAAAAAAAAAAAAAAAAACCGTACACTATAAAATGATTTACAGCAAAAGAAATGAAAAAAAAAATAAGTTACTTGATTAAATAATGCTAGACAGTTTTAATGCCTGCTAACTACAAATAAAAACGATTTCCTTAAGTGTGTTATTTAGCGTTAAAAGGCAGACGTTTAGCTGTATTTATTTAAAAATGCAAATTAGGAATAATGTAAAACATTGCCGTATTTAATAATTCGGATTTATAACTCAGAAAATGAAGCGATTCCATCCCAAAATATGTAATATATGGTGAAATAAATATTTTTATTAATCATAAGAACCTACAAATATTCATTAGAATTATTAACTAGACATGTTTATAATATCTTAAGTTAAATGAAAAAAAAGGTCTTAGATTGCTATAGAATTTTAATAAAATTTTACCAATTTCAGTGGTGCCTGACTTGTTTTCTCACTTCTTCACAAACAAAACAAAACAAAAAGGAAATTTTCGAAAAGAATTTAAATTACCAAAAATGAGTTTATTGCTTCAAATTATTATACTTTTATGAAATTATAATTTGAATAATAAATTAAGAATGTTATGACTCGGTTTTATGACTGAAGAGTATTACTATATGAAAGACATCAGTTAAAGGAAAATAAATTGGATTTACAAGCTTTATTTCAGAAAGTTCCGGAATTACAAAATGGAGTATAAAGCATTTTCAAGATGAGTAAAAATCAAAGGTATATCATAACTGGAAAAATATCTAAAGAAAAAAAACATAGCTAGATTTGAGAAAACATAGGCTACTATTCCGGTTTCAAATATTCTGCTTTGCTAACATAAATCAATCTGAAATTTTACAGCAATTTAATAAAAATCAAATGTAACTTAACTTTTCCGCTTCATTAATTACTAGATCACTGTTTATTTGTTCTTTCAATGATGACGACAAAATGGTTGAATGCACATTAAGATACCTGTCTCCTTCCCCCAAAACGCAGTTCTTGAGTTGCTCTGAAAAAGATGTATTTGGATAAAAAACTTTACTGACAATACGCAAATAAATATTCTGAGAAAAAAAAATAAAAAATAAAAAAAAAAAATCTGAAATGTTTCAGATTTTAAATTACATCCAAAGGGGCGTTTTTTAACATTTTGTGTGTTATCTTTCTTTATTAAATATCATGTTCCTCGCACTTAAACCATAAGATCCAGTGCAACAGCAATATCGCAAAATAGTTTTAAAAACGAGCATATCTTTAGAATTTACGATACAGAGACTCACGCGCTGGAGATAAAAATGTTTTTTCTTTCTGCACAACGTTGCCATTGCTCGCTTTGAAATCCTTGAGTTTGTTAATCAAAAATTCGTCAAAGTTTTAAAAAATAGGAAATCGATCATAAAACAAATTTCAAATTTCAAATTTGGTCTTCCACATGCTCATATTCGTTGGAGGATTACGTTATTCAAAATTCGATGACTCTATGTACCGTTGTTTTATCACAATACGAGAAATATACATACATTTATGCAGATTTTTCATTATTTAATTTCTTCAAATATAATGCAGGACTCTAACATTTTGTGGCAACAGTTTGAAAAGTGAACCGACATTTATGAGTCCGACGCAAAATGCCAAAACGAAACTAATAGTCCTTCGGGATTCAAATCCCTTTGGACTAAAAAAAAAAAAAAAAAAAAAAGAAAAAGAAGAAGAAAGGCAATTTTAGTTTTTATTTTTCTTTGTGGCATGCAGTGAATGAACGCAATGTTTCTTTCAATCTGAATATTCTTGCTTAGTAATTCTTATTTACGGAAAATGGGCTTCAGGTACTTTATATGCTCCTGACCCACTGCCTTTCATTTTTTTTTTTTTTTTTTTTTTTTGTTTTGTTTGCTCTAAACCTCTTTTTTCATTATCTTGGAGCCTGCATCGTTGTCACTTATTGAATTCGAAACCAAGTTCAAATCTAGAGAATATGCGGGTTGGAATAAATATCTGATAAAAGATATTAAAAACAAATTAAATTTCGAATTCATCTTCGAATAATCACTTACTTCATTACTTGGGATCACTTACTTCATTGTTACATTAGTTCTAAAGTATTTATTTAACAGTAACTTTATTTACATTTTATAATGCAGATTTTAAAGAAAATTTATGTTTTTTTTAAAAAGAGTTATATTTATCAATATATATACAAAATTTAATGTTATTAGCCCAAAGGGGCGTTAGACTCAAAGGGCTATTAGTCTCAAGACGGTATTTTGCGTCGTTTCACCTTCTGCGTTGATTCACTTGTCAAACTGTTGCCACCAAATATTATCACCATGTATCATATTTAAAGAAACTGAATAATGAAGAAGCTGCATGAACGCATGAATGTTTCTCGCATTGTGATAAAACGACGCTACTTAGAGCTAACAAATTTTAAATAACGTAGTCCTCCAACCGAACATGGGCACTTAGAAGCCCAAATTCTGAATTTCGAATTTGTTTTATTATCTATTTCGAATTTGTTTTATTATCTATTTCAAATTTTGTAAAACTTTAACGAATTTTTGATTAACAAACTCAGTGACTTCAAAGCGAGAAATGGCAACACTGTACGAAAAAAAAAAAAAAAAAAAAAAAAAAAAAAAAAAAAACATCTTTATCTCCAGCGCTAAGCTGTGTGCCGGAAATTCTAAAGATATGCTGTTTTGCTGTCTTTAAATATTTGTAATACTGCTGTTGAATTGATTTTTCGCTGTTTAAGTGCGAAGAACATGATATTTAATAAATAAGGTAACCCACAAAACGTCCAAAAAAAAAAAAAAAAAAAAAAAAATGCCCTTTTGGTCGTAATATAAAATCTGAAAGCTTTCAGATTTTCTTTCACTATTTTTTATTTAAAAATTTTTTTTTTTTGTTTAGAAAAGAAACAGCATTTATTAAATGTATGACTGATAGTTTTTTAAAATTCTTTTATTGAACAAAGCATTTTGAAAACTTTACTGCTTATAAAATGAAAAGTAATGGTAAGAAAACCAAACAAATAACAACTTTATGTTTTTCAGGTGTCTTAGAACCGAACCCCGAAAAGAATGTTTTTGATTAAGGAAGTCGCGAATATCCCCAAAAGGTGAAAATTAATGCATAAATGTCTGAAATAACCTATCATGAATAATACTTTTTTTCTCAATTTTTTGTATGAGTTCATAAGTTTTTGACTTAATTATAATATTATATTTTTTTCTTCAGTAGTAAGTACATCTTGCTCATACTTTACTTTTATGTTTCTAGTGCAATGTGTTCCAACGTATGAAGATTTTATGAAAAGCCACGTTTTAAATCTAGTTTTCATATGGAAATAAAAGGGTTTATGGAATTACCTCATAGCTTTACCTTCCATTTCAGTGAACACCAGCAGCAAAGCTGTAAAGTCGCTGAACACTGGTAGTTCGGTCTGAGGTTTGAATCTCGCGAACGGGCTGGCTGTATGGACGTTTTCGGTTTTCCTCATGCGTAAAGCGTATACCAGCCAATTTTTCTGAGAAAGTCCTTCACAAAAGCATCCTTTTCCTGAGGCATATAGCCCTTGAGGCTTTGCCGTAATCACAGAAACCTTCCATTTTCTAAATAAAGTTTAGGTGGCAGCAAGTAGGGGCGCTGTCATTAGTCCAATGCATACGTTATAGAATCATATTACGGATGCTTAAAATTGAATTAAATATGTCTTAATTTGAGCGCTAACTATACTAACTATGTATTCTATTAGGTTACATTGAAAAAAACCTTGATATACGAAGCAGATACGAGTTATGCCATTGATGAACGAGATAAGAGACACAATATCCGGGATGAACAGATCATGTATAGTTATAGTAAAAATAATAATACTAAAGGTTTTAACTTATGCTATTTACAAAGCTTCATTAGTCTCCCACTAAGAACTCAATGAAAATTATACAGATAAAATGTCATATTTATCATTTATTATATCATATCATATAATCATATATATATATATATATAATATATATATATATATATGATGCTGCAGTTGTGGAGTAGGAAAACAATTCAACTGTTTAAGTATTGCAATTAAAAAAAGTAGGTTTATTTTATATGAACTGAATTCATTTCATGTTAATTTCCTGAGGAGTATCATATACATTACCCGTGAATTCTACACCTGAGTTGTTTATGTGAGGTATCGTTTTGCTCATTTATTGTTGCAAACAGTTGAAATTTGTTTTTCTTTAGTGAACTTTATGTGTGGCAACAAGATTTGATTGATAGAATTGGTTTGTGACAGCATGTAGAATGGCTCGGCTTATTTGTTAAATTATTCGCATATATTTCGCATGATTTAGTATATATATATATATAAGGATTTTAAAGAGCATAATTTTCATTTATTTTAAAATATGTATATATATATCTTAAAAATAATAAAAATATAAGAGAAATATACAGTTATTAACAACAGCACAAAGAAGAAACATCACAACAAAATGAAAATAAAAAATATCATAAAAATGCAAACAAATACGGATATTCTGTTTTCCTCTCACTCTTTTTTTTATACGTGGGAGTTGCATATATTCAGATTACATGCAAAGCAATGAAAAATCGAGTTTTGAAGTACGACCTTAGTTTAGCATAAAAACTCAAAAATATTCCCTCTACAAATAATCATTTATTCTGGCAAACATATTGTAAAAAATCATATAAACCCAAATGATGGGGAAAAATCTTAAAATTCAAATCAAAATTGAATAAAAGTAAACAATAGAGTTTTAAATTACTCTAAAATTACTTTTTTTTCAGCATAAAACCTCAAAAAGAAACCTCTCTACAAATCATCATTTATTCCGTCAGACATGTAACAAATCAGATAAACCCAAATGACGGGGAAAAATCTTAAAACTCAGATCAAAATTGAATGAAAGGAAACAATGATATGTAGCTTTATCATCTGGAACGTCAAGTATAAACTATGACCAATAGCCGCACCTAAGGATCTTATCTCTTCTGATCTTCCTTATTCAGTTTCTGATTTCCGGTTATTTTACTGGTTGGGACAATGTTGAAATATATTTCCTCTGTAGGGAAGGTATTCTTCTAGTCATGGTGAAGTTATTGATCATAAACTGAAATTACCATCGTAAACTGAAAATATCTATCCGAAATTGATAACTGAACCATACACTGAAAATATCTATGGTAAACTGAAAAACTATGGTAAGATGAAATGTAAGTAATGTAAATAGAATAGGCATCTGCCACACTTGATTTACTGAACGTCATAACTTATCCTGCTTTAAATTGGCCTAGAATCAGTGTCTATATTGAGAAAAACAATTCAGTGTGAAGCCCTTTATATAATAAAATGCTAAATATCTTCTGGTAATTTTTTATGCGTTGCCCTAAAAGAGTGAAACCGAATGGATGTACTAATACTATCCATCAACGATCACAATTAGAAACACGATGGGCTTAAAAAATGTTTGAAACATTAAACTTAAATTAATCTATCAGCGACAGAGATGCTGGAGTTGATGGAGTAGGAAACAATTCATACCTGTTTAAGGTATTTGCAATTAAAAAAAGTACGAACTTAGTTTATATGAACTTATAAATATGAACTGAATTTCATTTCATTGTTTAATTTCCTTGAGGAGTATCATATACATTAACCGTGACTTCTACACCTGAATTGTTTATGTGAGTATCGTTTGCTTCATTTTATTGTTGCAAACAGTGTAAATTCCTTTTGTTTTTCTTCTTTTAGTTTTGAACTTTATGTGTGGCAACAAGATTATTGATTGATAGAATTGTGTTTGTGACAGCCATGTAGAAGGGCTCGCTTATTTTGTATAAATTATTTCACATCGCTGACAAGTGTAATTTAATAAAAGTGTAGGAATACAGTCCATTTGTTGATTGATTATTGTTTGTGAAACATATTAATTTTAAGGACATTTAGTGTTGGTCAAAAGTCTAGCCGGAGAGCTAGTGAAGATA